ACGACGAATCGTCACGTGTCGAGCATACGCTGAACGACGGCAACGCCTACGCCAGTTTGAACGGCAACTTGATTTCAGACGACTACGATTCGCTCGATACCATTCAGCGTCATAAGCAAGCCGGCCATTACGGAAGCTACACGGCGATTGGCTTTGGTGTGGAAGAGGCGAACGAACTGCTGATCGACCATGCTCGTCACGGGGCTCGCCCGACAATCGTGCTGATGACCGACGGGAACGCCAACCGCTACAAAAGTGGCTGGAGCCTGCCGCGTGACTGGGACTGGGACGACTACACCGACTACGACGGTGACGGGCGAGCCGATTACTCGACCAACGACCGCTCGAAGCAGTATGCCATTTGGGAAGCAGTCGAAGCCCACAAACGGGGCGTGACCATCCATACGATGAGTGTGGGTGCCAATGCCGACCGCAGCGTGATGACTGCCATCGCCAATGCGTGCGGAGGCATTCACATCAGCGTGCCTGGCGGATCGACCATTGCCGAGCTGGAATCGCAGATGCTGTCGGCATTCCAGCAAATTGCTGCCAAAGTCCCACCACCGCAGTTGGTGTACGACTTGAGTCAGGCCCAAGAGTAAATCATCGCGAGACACCACGACGTGTCCTGCAAGGTGGTTGTCGCCGAGGTTCTTCCTTGCGGCAACCACCTTGTGTTATTTCTTGTCGGCGCGATTGTCCGTTAAGATGAAAGGGACCGATCTCGAACCCTTTTCAGCCCCGATCAAGAGAAGCAGCACGTATGTCTCCCACGGACGACTCGATCCCTATCCAGCACAGCGAGAACTTCCCAGTCAAACCACCGGTCAGTTGGGTGATGTTTTCTCGTTGGCCAGAGGATGGCGACCATTGGATACATCCGGACGATCGCCATAAAGCCGAAGGCCTCATTCCCAGCGACTTCATCTTTCGACGCGAAGTCACCGACGACGATTGGTACCTGATCAGCTACGGCGACGTTCATATGAAGACGCGACGGGTAATGGTCGAAGAACTTCCCGAGCCGAAGTTCAAAATGGGTGAAATCGTCGAACTGGCCCATCAGTTTGATGTCGACAAAATGACCACCGCGACGATCTATGCGGTACGGTGGAGCGACTACCACCAAGAGCCGAACTACTACGTCACTCGCGGCAATCTGAAGAGCCAGAATGCTTACCTG